ATCTAGCATATAATAACACACTAAACATAATATCGAGTCTACTTGCAATTAAGTAAAGGAGAGATATGATCATACCTCGATATTTTGTTATGTCTATGGAAGTACTTGATCATCTTTGTCCAATTTGATAGATAACCTCATTGATTTTAATTCTTTCATTTTAAACTTATTGAGCATGTTCATAATGTACTTTGTTTGACTCCATTACTTAGGTGGAGTTTGATCACTTCATACTTCAGATGATTCTTCTTCATCTTATTGCGCATTTGTTTCTTCATGTTGATCTTCAACATCTTTAAGATCTTCTTTGTTTTGATTTTGAATTTTATTTGCTCAAAAGTAATCTCCAAACCAATAATTTTAAAGTCAATGACTTTTCCTTTGGCATTATTTCCAAAAGTATCATGATCACCATTCTTTATTTTGAAGATTGATAATAAAGCTTGATTTCGGTCATAGTATCCATGATTCGAGGTCCATTTGCTCTTTATTTTCTTTGGTACCTACAAACAATAATTCACTTTTTAGTCCTTGGTACCCATACAACCTTAGGTCATTGGTAGTTAGTGTTAGTGGACTTTTGAATCCACTTGTAGTTGTCTTCAAAATGTAATCTCTTTTTAATTGAACAATAGAAAGCTACATGTCCATTTTTATTACAAAAATTACACGTGACATTGGAAATAGGGAAAATAGAGGCTTTAACAAAGAAATTTTCAAGAGACTTTTGTTTTAAAAATGGTTTGTATCCAATTATCCCTTTATCAAAAATACATTTATGTTCACCAAGCATTAAATTAAAAATTTTCTTGCCTTGAGTAAATTTGTGAATAATTTGAGTCAAATCTAAAAAAATTTCTTGTAAAAAGGAATTATCCTTAATTAAAGAATTGTAATCAGCTTTTCGTTTTTCAAAATCATTTTGAATTTCTAAAAGTTTTTTAACCTCATTTTCCAATAAATAATTCTTCTTTTTAAGGATCGAATGATTTAAAGCAAGTTTTTCAAACTTTTCAAGAATTTCATCATAAGAGGTTGATAATTTATCATATAAACAATTTTCATTTGAATTTATCTATTCATTAATAGCCATGAAGCACATGTTGGGAATTTCCTCTTGATTTCCATCTTCTTCGTGGTCGTCATCATCACTCTCAGCCCATGTTAATTGAAGTTCTTTCTTTTTTATAAATATATTCTTCTCTTCGCCCTTTTCTTCTTCCTTTTGGAATCGAAATTGTTGCGGAAAATTTTCCATTTCTTAACAAGAAGAACTAGAACATCAAGTTCTTCATCATTCATATTTTCGCTTGAAGTGCCTTCATCAACTATGGATTTTAAAGCAATTTGGCTAATTTCCTCTTCTTTGTTTTGCATTTTTTTCTCCTTTGTCTTGGTGCGATTTAGCTCATATGTTATCAATGTTCCATAGAGCTCTTCCAATGGATATGTGTGGATATCTTTGGTGTTTTCTATCAACATTCTCAATTGACTCAATTCTTCCGAGAGTGACCTAAGCACTTTACTCACAAGTTCACCGTTGGTGAATTTTCGAACAAAGCTTTGAGGCTATTAACAATATCGATAAAACGAGTGATCATGTCTACAATCAATTCATTCTCTTTCAAAAAGAAATTTTCAAACTCTTTAACTAAGAGATTTATCTTATTTTCTTTCACTTTGCTAGTTCCAACATGAGTAATTTCTAAAGAATGCCAAATATCATAAGCGGAATCACATGTACTAATAAAATTAAATTCATTTTTATCTAAAGCACAATAAAGTAGATTTTGGCTCTAGCATTTAAAGACACTTTTCTTTTATCCTCTTCATTTTATTTCTCTCTAAGTTTAAAAATTATTTGATCCGGTTTACCATCCTCTTTAATAACATTTTTAGGCACGTAGGACCTAAATTCAATAACTTCCCAAATATTATAATTTGTTGATTGAATAAATATGATCATTCCAGCATTCCAATAGTTATAATGAGTACTATCAAAAAAAGGAGGACGATTTGTAGAATGCCCCTCAAGATTTTGAAAAATGTAGTTAACCATTGCTCAAGATTGTAGAATTTTAATTTCAAAATGAGCATCTTACTCTGATACCAATTGAAAGCCCAAATAACTAATCAAGAGATGGGTGACTTGGTTTTGAAAAACTTTTTCAAAAAATTAATCTATATTCAACCAAGTAAAGACTAAATAGATCAATTCAAATAATAAGTGAAAAATATGAAAGCGATAAGTAAAAGGGAGAGATGATGATGTAATTGTGGAGGTTCGATCCAAAGCAATGATCTATGTCATCCGTTACCAAGTTCTTCGGCAAGAGCAATGCCTTTTCACTATGTTGATTGACTTATAGTGCAATCCAACCCTTTATAATGCTTCTGGTGACTTACAAATAAGAAGCATCGATTCTTATATAATGTTGAACTTTACAGGACCTCAATATGACCCGCGCTATTGAGCTTTATAGAACATCAACACGACTTACACTTTATCAAAGTGCTTTTACATTGGAATTCATCTCTTGATAAATAATACAAACAATTTTAAGTACTAAGAGATGCTAACCCTTCAATGCATAGGAATAAATGATAATTCAAGTGTTAGATGAAAAACTTTGATGTATATAATAATTAGAAATTTGATTCAATGAATCAAAGTTTTTTAAATGAGAAGATAAGAAGAAATGAATGCAATATAAGTTCAAAAATCTTCTCAAAATATATATATATATCTTTTAATGAATATTGTAATAAATGAAATACTAAGAAAGAGACGAGAAATTTTGATGAATACAATAATTTTACAAGTTTAATTCAGTCAATCAAAGTTTTCAATTTGAAGTAATAAAAGAAATGTATGCAATGTAAGTTCAAAGATCTTCTTCAAAATATGTCTGTCTTTTTTGAGAAATAGAAATTAGTTAAGTACAAAAAGAGATATTAAAATATTTTATAAAGATGATGATTAAATAGTTTGAATCAATTAAAGTTTTTTTATATGTAGAAATAAATGTAAGTTTAAAGAAATCTCTCAAAAGATATCTCACTTTGATGTTATTGAATAATGATTTATTGAATGCAAGAAGTTAAAGTATTTATAGACTTCAAAACGTCAAAAAAATATGGGAGTTCGGATGTCTCGTCCGGTCGACTGCCTCTTATCCGGATGACCATATAGTCGTGAACGGTCAAATTTTGGACCGTTGAAAATTTTCGGTCAACTGCCTAGTGATAAGTGTGTTTTTGCACACTCATTTAATACCTAATTATATTTATTATTGATAAAAAAAAAGAGCAAATTTCTACTCACAATTATGTAATTATTACTTTTGTAGGTTCAAACCACCCAAAGGAAAGAGAACAAGACAAAGGAAGAAAAATGGACTAAAAGCGTACAAAATTCATGACTTTGGGGACCAAGATGTAGAAGTGCCAAAATTTGAGGACCTTGGGATGCAATTTATGGATAGTAAAATTTGGAATGAAAGTCAAATTTTGATGACCAGATTGTACATGATGAAAGTTGGAGGACTTGGAGTGTTTCTTGGTTGTTAGGCTCACTTTTGAAACTTGAAGACCATTTTAATTATTTTTTGTAAAACAAGGGACCAAGGCTGCAATTTTTGCTAGGTTTTGTTTTAAAAATCAGCACATGACTCTTCTTCCAGTGGGGGCATTTTCTGGGCATTTTCTCAGTTTTCTGCTGGGTGCAGTAGCTTCCCGTTTTGGTTCTCATTTGCTGATTTTTTTTTTTCTTTTCTTCTTTATTTCTTTTTTCCTTCCATTTTGTGTTGGGATTTTGGAAACCATGAATCCCAACCACATTTCCCTCCAAACTTTTTAAGTGTTTATGTTTTCTTTATGTTGTAGATTTTTTCTCATAATTTCCAAAATAAAATTTTATTGTGTGTTTGTTCTTGTTGCTAAAATTAAATTGACTAAAGTTGTGTAATCGGAAGTAAACATTCATCGAGGGATCGACAACCCAGACTCAAAAGGTCCCACTTTATTACTTGAACGTGACTTGTTAATTTGCGGTATATTATTTTAGCGAATAAGTTTTTGACGCCGTTGCCAGGTGACTGTTTTATTTTAATTGTCATCTTAGTTGATTCTAATTTTCAAAATTTTTTTGTTTTTATTTTTTTTTATATATACCTTTTATATCTTTATTGTGAAATTGGCTTCTTAATTTTTATTTCCTTAGATCTTTGGTAGTGCATGCTTCGTTTGAAAAGTTTCGATTTTTTCGAACTTGATTCGGATATTGAAAGGACTTTTTGAAGAAGACGACGGGAACAAAGGGAATTAAGAAGGCAACAATTAATCGAGATGGCCCAACAAAGATAAAATGTGGAACCCAATGCTCAACCAAAAAATATTCTACGAGGTGGAATTCCATTGAGTTTTGGTAACCAAGTGGGTAGGGCCCAAGAGCCTGTTGTAAATGAGAAAGATATGTTATTTGGGGACTTCATGAACCTTCAAGTATTGTCTACCTTTCATATG